TTACTTACTTTAGCAGCCTTCTCCGTTCTGCAAGGGAATGCCTCTGTCCAGTTAGTGAAAGTGTCTACAAAGACAAGTAAAAATTTCATCCCTCGGGTCATTGGTGGCATGACGGTGAAGTCTATCTGCCAACCTTCCCAGGGTCCCATACCTCTGGCTTGCACTCCTACTATAGTGGGGGTGGTCCTGTCTTGGGATTATTTTTAGTGCAGAGCATGCATTGCTGGGTGACAAGTTGAACATTTTTATATAAGTCCGTCCCCACAATCAGCTTTTGTAGCCAGGTGGCCAGGGCATCCCTTCCATAATGGGTGGTGAGATGGGCGGCTTGTACTACGTAATACATGAGGTGTGCTGGTACTAATATTTGTCCATTGTCATTATACATCCGCCCATTTTTTGTTTTATCTTCTGAGAAACCGCATTGTCCTCCTTTTTCTTTATCTTGTTGAGAATATCCTGGAGTGAAGGCCTGTAGGTCTATATCAGGCAAGAGGGCCAAAACCTGTGCTGGGGTTTTGGCTTTTCCAGCTTCCTTAGCTGCCTGATTGGCCAGGCAATTCCCTTTGGCTAAGGTGTTATCCCCGGCTTGATGGCCACGTTGGTGGGAAGGAGGACTACCTGTAGCAACTTTAAAATTTCAGTCCCGTATTTAACTTCTTTATTGGCTGATGTTAGTAATCCCCTTTCCACATGGCCCCATGTGCATGCACAATAGAAAAAGCGAACCTCGAATCCGTGTAAATGTTAATTCTTTGACCTCTTCCCAATTCTAATGCTCTGATCCGTGCGATCAGTTCGGCCTTCTGGGCTAAAGTTCCAGAAGGAAGGGCTTCCAACTCTAAAGTCTCCTGAAGGGACACTACAGCATATCAAGTCCGTCACGTCCCTTGATCCCTGAAGCAGCTGTCATCTGAAAAAACTTCAAAGTCCGGGTTAGCAAGCAGAGTATCTTGAAGATCTCGTCTTTCCATGTGCCAGGGACCCCTTGGCCCACCCAGGGCAACAGCTAGCAGGCTAGCTTGTTGCTTCATTTCCCAGTGCTGCTTCTCCTGTTCTTGGTCCCAGTTGTTGTAGACTTTAAAGGCCGCCTTGACTAAGTGTGAGGTGGTCATATCTAGTCCATTCTCTAATTTCTGTAGCTTGCGCCTTACATCGGGCGTGCTGTGAGAGATGAAAGTCAGGTTAACAGCCTTCTGGGAAGTAGGATCACAGGATTCACATCAGCACGTTTTCTATAAGCTTCTAGGACCCGCTCAAGGAAGGCAGAGGGGTTCTCACCTGGCTTTTGGTGAACCTCTTGAATTTGGTTAAGGTTTTTAGGTTGGGTGCTCCCTGCCAGAACCCTTCTAGGATACATTCTTGACAATGTTACAAGAAAACCATATCATTTGCCACTTGGGGTCTTGAAGGGCCACAGCACATCCGCAGGTCATCTGGCTGGATTTCTCCCTGCCTCATGAAGCCTCTCTGCCTTCTGTCTAGCCTTTTCTAAAACCATCCTTCTTTCTTCCTGAGTCAGCAGGTCTCAGGAGAGGGTTTGTGTCTGCTCAT